CTCAATGCAGGCCTCTACTCCATCTGCATAATTCTCAACTCAGCTACTTTTGATCACATCCTCCTTGACATTTGATTCTTTATCTATATTCACAACTAGCCTCTCTTTGTTCTCCCACTTCTGATTGTTCCTTTACTATCACCTGCAAAGTCCTCATATATTCATCTTTCAGAATCTCAGTCATCCCATCTTTTGTATTTAGCATTTTACATTTAAGTGGTCTCATACAGTTTAAACTGTTATCTTTAGATTAGATCCATCTTTCTGCTCTTAAGATACTTCTCTCAACTACTCCTAAATCTTCATTTTTCTGACTTTTTTTTTGAAAGCCTTGTCATCTTGACTTTATTACACACAAGCAGAAGTCCTTATTTTTTCTCCATTGCCTCACAGTCTCAACTAATATTAACACTTTTTAATCCACCTTTATCCATCTGTCATTTCCCCATGCAAACAAAAGCTTTCTTTCATCCTTCTCCATGCATACAGAATACTCAGTATGAACATCCGCTTGCTTCTCTTTCCTCCGTTTAATTCCTCCTCAAAATCTACATATGAAAATGTCTGTAAGGCAAGAGCCCAGTAGCGACAGTGTCTATGCATCATAATAGGATTTTTTTTTTGGAAGATACTTGACTATGCCTTCCTCTACTCTTAACTCACTTGCCTAAGAGGTAGGGACCACATCTTTATGTTTATACAGATCCCTACCACTCTGAGTAGGGCCATGGGGTACCATTTAATTTTTATATTTGTATAGGCCTAATGTCAACAACCTTCAAGGGGAGTATCCCATTATCATGAAGCACCTTCCTGTTATTCTGACAGTTTTCAAATTGAAGCATCTATTTGAGAATTCATGTCATTGCAATGATACAGAAAATAATTTTGGTTGGTCAAAGAAAGCAAATATTGGACACAGTAGTGGATCCCTTTCTTTCCAGTAAGGAAAGAGCAGAAACAGAAGAATGAAGACACTGAAAACAGTAGTCAGTTTCCTTCACTAGTGTTGGGAAGAAATGAAAAAGTCATCCATCCACATCGGAGTACCAGCTTTTTAAATAAACATTTATTTCAAAGCAAAAACATACAAAACTTTTGCATGGGTTGCTGTACAGATAGCTGGATTAAATATAACATTCTTGGTTGGATTTGTTTTACTTAAAGAAAAAAGAAAGAAAGAAAGAAAAACATATCTGTAAATATATACAGATACATGTATTAACTTAGAAACAGTTAAGCAAACCTGTGATTTGTAGCAGTCATAAAATGAGCCAGAGCCTGTCATATTAATGCTGCTGAATACATCAGTCAGCCTGCTGCTGGTCTCTGCAGTGCTCCAACAGCCACTGGTGCTCCTGAATGCAACTTTAGGCTACGAAGACAAGGTCCAGGGTAGAAGATTTAATTACATGTGGAGTCAGGTAGAAGCGATCTCCCCCTACCCCCCACATGACCCTGCAGATTCCATGTGGCTGATTATGCAGGAGGCCATCCCACCCATTGAAGCTAAAACCCTTTTACATACCGAGTCCTAATGATACCTTCTCCTCAGTTTTGCATGGGAGGTTAAAAAGCAGTTCACAAAGGCAGCTTTTGCTCTCCCTCTTTCCCCACCTCAGTTCCAAATCGCCCAACCAGGGAGCTGCGCAGCTCGCAGCAGTGTTGCCAGGCCTATGAAAATTATCACAGTCGTACCATAGTTTCAATCCTTGTACAATATACAATAATAGTAAGTGTCCAAAATGTACAACGTTTTGAGGCAACTAACTGATGCAGCAACGCAAAACCAAAGTCACTCCCAGGGAGCCTTACCTGACCTTTGGGTTTGCTGTCAGCAGTTTCTTACAGCCGCTTGCCTCAAAATAAAGAAATGCTTCAACTTTGGGAACCCCCTTGCTCGCTGGTGGGTTACAGTGATCCATATCAAGTCAATAAGACTTATTTACATATTTATTTATTGCATATTTTTCAGTGTACAATAGTTTTTCAGCCAATACAATAATTTCGAGCTTCCGACATGACAATGCCGTATTTAAGACTTGGCAACGCTGCCTCCTCCAGACTGCAACAGCTACCGGCGGCCCCAGGGAGCCGAGGCTGGAGCCTGCGGGAAGCCCCATCACGAGCCATTTCCCCAGCAGCAGGTGTCAGCGGCCCCTACCCCCGAGCCATAGAGGAGCCTGGGCGGCCCCGCGGTCACAGCCCGAAGCCCCGGCAGCCACCACGCCGCTCACCTCCATGGGCGGCCCCTAGCGGGACTGGCGCAGGGGTCGCCCCGCAGGCAACGTGGTCGGTTAGCGGGCGAGGCAGAGCCGCTGTCGGTGCCACGCCGCCTCCATGGCCGGAGCCGCCTCCCCTCAGCCGCACTGAGGCGCCGAGTGGCCGTTACCGCCTCGCCCCGCGCCGGGGGGAAGGGACAACACAGGCTAACCTCGAGCGCCTGCAGTGGCTGCCTCGCGCCACGCGATTGGCCGCCCTCCCGCGCCCCCCACCAATGAGGAGCCGCCCCTCCTCGCCCTCGCCCCAACGCCTCGTCTGCCCGCGAGAAGGCGGGAGGCGCGCACAGCGCCCAGTCCTCTTCCAATGAGGAGCCGCCTCGCGGAGCCTGCCAGCCAGCACGCGCTCGGAGCGCCGGCCTCCTCCTCCGCCCCCGTTGTGACCGCTCCCTTCTGATTGGGCTGCCTGCCGACCAATGGGGAGGGGAGAAGTGCTGTGTTTACCCGGAGACATGCGGGAGGCGGTTGGAGCGGCTTCAGCCTCTTCCCGCTCGAAACGGGCGGCGGCATTCATTGGTCCTCTGCACAGAAGTGCTCGGGGAAGCCAGACGGCGATTGGCTAAGCGCTGCTGCCTGGGCCGGGCTTCTCTGCCTGACCGCTTGTTGCCCCTGCAGGGGCTGCCCCCCAGGCCTGGCAGGAGTGACTGGCAGAGCGAGCCTGCAAGCAGGCCTGCCTGCGGGAGGGGTGACACAAGGGCCATTAAGGACACGTGAAGCGGGGCCATTGCTCAGACCACTTTTTCAACCCGTGGGTCGCAAGAAGATATGAAAGGGTCCTGAACAAGCTTGAAAAATGGATTCCCCGTTAAAGGGGGAAATGGTGGCTTTTCTCTGACAGGCTGACAGCCTTCCAGCTTGCGAGGGGCTGCCCCCATGTCCCATGCACTGGTCATGAGTGAAGGGCACGGGGTCTAGACTGGCCATTGGTGTTCACAGGTGGGCCCTGGTCCAAAAAAGCTTGAGAAGCACTGGTGGGAGCTATTCCATCTTTGTTTGAAATCAGAGCACCTGTCCTTCATTATCCTACGTTTTGGCCGTTGTTGCAGTTACCCACCCTGCATGTAAAAGGTCAGATGGGCCATGCAAGTATCATTACCATGTGTGTGATATCACAGGTTCCCCAGCCTACCTGCTTCTCTCAGAGTAGCCAGGCCCTGAAGCCACTGGCTTTTTGGACCCTGAGACCTGGGCCTTTGGTTTCTGTTCTTAATTATTCATGGTCCCCCTTCAGAGAGCTACCTTCAACAAAAGAACACTTATTGGTCCACAGGGTTTCAATAGGCAAAGTCCTTCTCCAAACAGTTGCTATCAGCAAAGGCAGCCCCAGCTCTTCTGTCTCAAGCCTCTCTGGCAGCTATCTGCCTTAGTCCCTTGTCTCTGGGCATCTCTCCTTTAGAACCTTCTTCCAGGCATCCTGCTGACACAAGACACAGCAGGGAGCCCCCTCAGGTGCCTGGCTGGAGTCCATGTGATGCGTCAGCATACACAGATTAGCTCTTTGTTGCTAGATGGCCCATTACCTTTTAATAGGTCTCCCCAGCTCTACATCCAAACATAATCAACACCTTCTTCCAGAACTAGTTTGTACACAGGGAAAAAGGCATACAATATTATTTAAACCAGGACTATTACAACAAAACCGTATCTGACACGTGGCAACACCGGTCTTGTGGCTTAAAAGTAGTCTGAGGCTTAACTTGAAGGAACTGAATGGAGGTGCCTGTGTTCTTAGGATTCACCAAGCTTAAACTCTCTCTTGGAGTTAAACACCTCAGGCCAGCTCAACGGTCTCTGAGTAAGACCAGCCTGCCCCATTATACTTAAAATCCTTGTGGTCAGGGCACCTGGGACATGACACACTTATTTTCAAGTCTGTACCCCAAGTAATTCAAAGAGAAACTTCAATAGAGGGCTCCCATAAACTTGAGAGACAGCCCTAGCCACCAGGCTATGGAAAATTCCAGGGTAAATATCTGTTTTGCCTGCTGAAGTGCTTTCCCTTTATACAAGTACTTAATTATACAGATTAACTTAGCTCACCCGTGTACATGGGCAATTTGAACAACATACACTTTAATAGCACCAAATGCAAGGTTAGACAGTCAGAGATTCAGAGTTTAGGGTCAGAACCATTAAGGACAACAGACCATTACTTCCTTTAATCTGACCTTGGGAGTATTACGTCCTTTGATTACATCCAGTTTATCCTCTTTGAGCCCAATAAAATGTTTAATTAAAACATATGTTCTAGAAAGACATTAGTTCTTGATCTGAAGATATTGATGGGCAGAAAATCCACAATTTCCTTCAGTAGTTTCTTCCAGTGATTAATGACCGTCACTCTTAAAAATATACCTGTATAATGTCAAATGTAAAAATTTGCATTTGTCTGGCTTCAGTTTCTAAGCATCTGTTCTTGTTCTGCTTTTCTCCTCTCAGTTAAAGTTCCCTTTGCTATTCAGTATTTTCTTTGGTGAAAGAGAAAGCAGAGGATGGACTTTCATGAGCTTTCTAGTTGACTGTCAGAGTGCATTTTATACCATTCGTACTGATTACCATTGGAATGAGTGTCTTTAGCTGGAAGGCAGGGCAGAGATGTACCTTACAGGCTAACTAAATCAGAGATTCATAAGCTTTCACAAGCCTGAGCTCACTTCATCAGATGCTTTGCCATAAAATAAGGCCTTAAATATCTTCAGGTCAGCAATGAGAATGAAAGATCTGTATCTAGACCATCACAGCTCAACTTTCTTAAGCATACTGTCAATGCTATAAAAATGACCATAATTAAGGACTTCGGGGTTGAGAATCTTGCTTTACTTGTTTCATCTTGCAGATAGATTGAAGGCAGCACATGTGGAATTCAGCAAGCCTTCTAACACAATAGCAATTTCTAGTCCATGTCACACCCATAAAGGACCATGACCATCCACTATTCATTAGTTTAATACTGCTCCCGTTCCAAAGGTGGTGTGTCAATATTCCAAAGGCAGAGCTGGCTTTGACTATGCAGTGGGTATCTCATCTCTTCATCATTTATAGTATATTGTTACAC